TATTATGTGTTATTGGAATCAGTGAAATTTACTTCCTACTGGTAAAGAAATTTCAGAACTGTAACTGCAGTGTGAAGTAGTTTGCTTTATTTGTCTCGGCACCGTCATTTACTGCAGGCATGGGCAATTTCCAGGGATCTGAGGAAGTGCATCAATCTGCCCAACTCCACCAGGGACCACATTTCTCACCTTACGGCTGTCAGTGCCACCAAATTTGTTGCTGTAGTGTCAGGAAAACAAACATTTTTCTTTCAAACAAGGCACCTGTTCCCCACACAACTTATTTTTAGGGAGAAATGTGCTTTGGGGGGGCTTCCAGGACTGTGATTTCACTTGTAAACAATCTGAAGGCAAGGGTGTGTGATATTTTTATTAAACCACTAAAAAAAAGTGAGAAACGTACCGTAAGCCAGTTTTTGATGCTGCATGAGTGTTTATAAGGGAGCATGAAAAGAAGCATAAATGTTCCAAAAATCATGGCTAGATGTGCATTTCTGGCTCCTTGTTTAAAATCAGGGGCTGCTGCCTCCAGTCAGAGGTATAAGTTTCAGGTCTCGTCTCTAGTAATGGAGATTATAATGTCACTCCACTCTTGTTAGACAAAAGTTTCCAGTTATTCAGCTTTAACATCCACCCACCCTGACCACAAGGTTCTTTTTTGGCTGGGAATAGGGCCATGCACAAACATGGCAAGCCAAAGAAACCTCCCAAAATGAATGGGGGGGGCATATGCGGTGTAGGGGGCTATGCCTTGCCTATCTCTACATTATTGCTCCAGAGTAAATAGCTTCTTAGCTTACAAGCTAAGATACTTATGCAAACATCAGCATTCCCCAGGAATTAAGCATGCTGCTGTTTAGTACAGTATATACTAAATACGTACTATATTATGTATAGTATTTAGGTATTCTGTAATAAAAAACTAGAATAACAGAATCCCCAAAGACTGGTTTTCTTGATTACTTCTCATGTTTGTATATGTGCTTCTCTTCTATGACTACCTGTCATGCGTGTGAAGAAGTGGACTACAGTCCACAAAAGTCTTTGCCAAATAAAAACCTTTAGGCTTTACGACACCACCAATTTCTGTCACTTTTGCTACAACAGATTAAAATATTTATAACCAAAAAGTTAAACTTCTGAGACCCATCTAACTATAGTTGATATTCCAAACTGTTATTTCAAGAACCTGAAACTGTATATAAGCCAGACACAATGAGATATCCATAGAGAAGCAGACTGCTTCCAACTATATACAGTATGGCCATTAAAATATAGCATTAAAGATCTGAACTGCAATCTTGAGAGGTCTGGCCTTCAAAGCACCTCCCCCTCCCAGGACCCTTCCTACCAATAATATCCTTTGGTTCATATGGCTCCTGTGAAGACAAATATGATTGCTAGCCCCCCTTATTCGATAGATCTGCATTGGTAGCAGATATAAAGAGGTGACGTTCATAAATGTTAGCCCTTGCATTCCCAAAATAATCTTTAGTTGAATGATCCCATATGGTACATCATCATAACCAGGGGGAAATCTCAGTCTTGCTGCCAATCCAGGGTCAATTTTCATAAAAGAGCAGCTTACACACCCTGTTTATTTCATTTTAATAGCGTTGGAGAACATGGAAAGATAGAGAGCAATGAAAACCACGCAGGCTGCCTTAACTCGCTTCACTGTTGCATTGGTTTCTCTCATAGAAGAACATGCATGCTTCAGTTTGATGTTGCTCTGGAATCTCAGATGCAGGGGGATATTGGTGATGCCTAAACCATATCTGCCTGGTCCACCGACCACATGCTCCCTGGCCACAACAAACTTGAGTGCAACGAAGTTCTGAGCTATGTCTCTGAGGATGCAAGTAGCAGGGCCCTTAAAATGAGTACGCGAAAGGATGCAGGCTTTTGAGAGGATAATGGTGATGTCCTCAGAGATACTCTCTTTGCTGGTTGACTGCCATATGGGCCTGCTGTACTTCGAAATGTGAGTCAGTATGTATTTTCCTGCTTTTGCTGACAGCTGAAAAACTTCTGGAAATCCATCACGGCATCCTAGGAAGAGTGTGGTGGCTATTTGCTTCATGACCGGATGCAGCTGTAGCTGGTGCCCCATAGATAAAATGGACAGTAACGCTCTTTGTTTCAGAAGCAATAGTAACAAACCTAAAACCCATTTGGCACCACAATATTGCAAGGCATCAACCCAGTGAAAACAGGAGTTCCTCACAGCTGCCTGGAAACGCTGGAAGATTTGGACTGCTGGGGATAGTACTTCTCTCCCAAGCTTCCTAACAAGAACAGCATGCACAGCACATGACATTTGAAGGCTGCAGTGCCATAAACTGAAGATACCTGCCACATGCAGGGTGAGCCAACAGAAGAATAACCTGACTGTGATGGACAGGAGGTGCAGTAGTGGCTTGTAGATTTTCACAAAGAGAGAAGACATCAAGAAATAAAGTATCACGAGCTGGGCTTGAGGAAATCTCAGAGTCTGTTCTGCCCTTTGCCTCATGGTTTGCTTCTCCTTTGGCTTGTAAATTGCAAGCCTTTTACCGCCATGCATTTTGTTAACTTTGATCCATTAGAGGTAAGGCTCCACTCATCCCAGCACATCCTTTCTCTTCCCACACTAACAAAAATGGTTAGGGGACTCCCCTTTTGTAACTGGCAATGTCACCACAATTGATTGCATCAGAAAGAAGACTCAGTGTGGTCATGTTGAGGTAGAGTTGTCACCTGGGGCTCTAGGCTGCAGCAGGTCTGAATGTAAAGGTAAAGATTCCCCTTGAGTCGTGTCCGACTTTAGGGTGCAGTCTCATCCCTGTTTCCAAGTCGTAGAGCCAGCGTTTTTCTGTAAACAGTTTCCATGGTCACGTGGCCAGCGCAACTAGACACGGAACGCCATTCGTTACCTTCCCACTATAGTAGTACCTATTTATCTACTTGCATTTTTACATGCTTTCGAACTGCTAGGTTGGCAGGAGCTGGGACAAGCGACGGGCGCTCACTCCGTTGCGTGGATTCGAACTGCTGATCTTTCAGCCTTGCAGCCCAGAGGCTTTTGCGGTTTAACCCGCAGCACCACCATGTCCCATCAGGTCTATGTCTTCCGAAATCAACTAATGGTTATAATTCAGGTGTACTCCTGCCTCACATCCCCAGAGACCTCACATCCCCAGAGAGGGATGTTCATTACCTCTGAGAAACAGGAAACTTACCTTAAAAAGTAAAACTATAATGGCAACTAAATACAGGTATGGGATCCTCTAGAGTCTAGACTAGAACAATTAATGTCCCAGACTTGATGAAAAGCTCAGTGTTAGAAGAGGTTAGGAAAGTCACCACCCAGAGGCTCATTGGAGATAGTGCTACAGATAGATAGATTGTAATACAGTATGTTAAAATAAATTAATACAAAACAAAAAAGCTAACAATGCATACCCCTTAGTGACATCATACTTCAGTTGCTTGGTTTATTTGTTTTTTATACAGATCAGAGACAGATACATATAATCACACAGCATTTATAATAGATTGTGCAGACAACATACTCCACATAGTGACTGTTAACAAGAATGACATAACATACTACAGTATAGTCTTGTAAAGGAGGGACAACAAGTTGGCACCACATTCCCTCCCTCAATAAGGAGCTTTATTCACATCACATAAATTCACACTTGGTCCTCTTACTTGTTTCAGTGGAGTAATCCAATGGTTCATAAAACTTAATTTGGAATATATGTTTTTGAGAAACAAACTTATAAAAGCCTATAAACAATTACCAGCTTGCTAAAGAGGAAGTGTGATACAGTGGAGTGCCATGAAAACTCATTGAGAGGTGACTATGATAAACAGCTCTTCAGACATCTCACATATGTACCTCAAAAACCTTGAAGACTGCAATAAATTGAAACACCTTGAAAGCACATAACTACAGCTTCTCAAATAGAACTTCCACAGGCAGAGGAACTCTATTTCTGGATAGCAACTCCCACGGACAATGAGGAGTGTCTGCCTTCTTGTGAAAGAGATGAGAAAAATAATGAAAACACATGGCTTTTGGGCAAGCTCCCAAGGTTGCAATTCTATGCACAAGTTGAGAATAAGCCCCAGTCAATATAGGGAAGCTGGGGAGAGAAAAGGAAGCCTACAAGAGACTATAAACGTGTGTATTCACACTTTGAAAAATTGTAACCTACTTTTATGTGTGCAGCTGTACTATGCTACTAGCAAGCTGCTTCTAACTTATGGAGACCCCACAAATTAGTGTTTCCCAAAAAGCCTTACCATTAACGGCTAACATAAAACAATTTCCTTTATTAAATCAAAACCATTTCATATTAGTATTTCATATTTCTTTTTCCTGCCATCTTCAACAACTTAGAATCTTATTTTTTCCAGTGAGTCTTGTGTTCTCTTATGTCCAAAATATAATATCCCCAGGGAATATAAAGAAGGCACGGAAGAGAAATGGAAGCCAAGAAGACATCAGTGTAACCACCAAACCTGCATATTCATATACAGTATTACGATCTTCTACCTTACAGATCCTATTCTATCTTCCACAGGTATGACAGTTATAGGTGTATGTCAGGCTGGCAGGTCGCTTATAATCCCATTCACGAACATATTTGTTTCCTTCACTTCTGTGACGGAAAACTATTACTCTATATTTATATGTTTAATTTGGCTTTTCTATCATTTTCCATCAAAGGTCCTACAAAACAATACGATTTACTTTCGAGTAGTCAAGCCTACGATCAGGATACAAATCGCACAGCCTAATCAGTAAACACGTATGTTGTTTACTCAGAAAAGAAACTACTACTCAATTGGCTTCACAGTACAGTACTTTCAAAATGCACCTTCTTTTGGAAAGCGCGCCGTGTAAAAAGCAACGCTCCGCCCACCCCGGCTCTCGTGAACGTTCGCGCACAAAACTACATAATCAAATAACTGAGGCGCATGCGCAAGAAAATTGGTCGGTGACGTCACGTCCGTGCGTCGTCTGTGGGGCCATAAATAGCGCATGCGCAGATTTGACTTCCTTTCTGTGTCGGCTCGGAGACAAAATGGTAGGTTGTGGCTGGTGATGGCTGTGGATAATCTGCCCCCATCGCGTCTGTGGTTGCGTTTACCTTCCCGAAATGGCTTTCTTCTTGCTTTCGGGTCATCGCTGTAGGTGGGCGGAACAGCATTGTCTGGTTGCATATGCTGCTTTCTTTGAGGGACACCTGGGTCTATTCTGCTGCAAAACGTGGCTCTGGCCTAGCGGAGGAGGGCGGCCGTTCTGCCCTTTATTATCTCAGCGCTTCAGAGAGGGGCACGGTATTGCCCGAATAGAGGAGCACTTGCTGTGTTTATCGTGTTTGAGCAGTAATTCCCCCAATGGGTGCCTGTCTCGCTTTCATAGAAGCTGAAAAGTAGATTTTGCAAGACGTTTTAAATGCTGCTCTGTGGATACGAGCACAACTTGTAAAATTCCAGTTTAATGTCCTACCTGTTGCGTCATAACCAATAAGATACACTTTTCAAAAGAATAAAAAGCTTATTAGGCTATCTGGGAGGTGGCTGGGCAGCTGGCTTTAGAGAAACGTCCCATGTTGAAATTTTAGGATGTAGGTATTGCTTATACATGCATTTTAAGAAATAATAATAAGTGTATAACGAAGAGTAAATCTGTGAGATGTTGGTTTTGAATAAGATTGATTGTTTATGGGGTTTTGGGGATCCTTGAAGTATGAGTATTGAGTAGTGTTAGATTTGATAATGGAGCCTTTATTTTACCTGAGAGGTAAGTGAATAATATTTCATGCATGTACAATTCTGTTTTAATAATTGTAAAACCATGATCACAGAAGCTACTATAGGTAGAGGTAACAGTATTATTTACATAGAAGTAATAAAGGAGCTTGGCAGACAACAGTAGATATCTGTGTTGATTTAACTTGAGGCAGTTTGCCACCAGCCTGTGCACTGGTTGTGTTATACCAGCATATAGACAGGATTCAAGCCAGTGAATGCTTCCCCACATGGGTTGTAGACCGACCCATTTGGGAAGCATAAGGCTTAAGAAGCCTGTGTGGTTTGGTCTCACAGAAATCTAGCATTGGGTTGTGAGAGTAGCTTGTCAAAGGCCTCCTAATGAGCAAGATGTGTCTTTCATTTTCCTAGTCCCACCGGAAGTTTTCTGCTCCCAGGCATGGGTCTTTGGGCTTTTTGCCTCGCAAGCGCAGCCGTCGCCATCGAGGCAAGGTGAAGAGCTTTCCCAAAGATGACCCCAGCAAGCCCATCCACCTCACTGCTTTTCTTGGCTATAAGGCTGGCATGACCCACATTGTCCGTGAAGTTGATAGACCTGGATCCAGTAAGTATGCCTTTGCTCTTATGCAGGGGAGTTCATTTCTTGTGTAGTGGGAAGATGAAATGGATAGCTGGCCTTTATAGTACTCTAGGATGCTTCACATTCTTAGTAAGTAATCATTTTCAAAGAGACTATTATTTTTACCCCCACATTCTAGATGGAAGGCCCATGTGGATCATAGCTTGAGGTGGCATTTGCAACATCAACTTCTTAGCTCAGTACTAAAACATAGCTTTTGAGCCTTAGGTGGAAGTGTCAGTAACTCTAGACACCAGTATGATTTGTCATGGGCTATTACGGAGTTTAGTTTGAATACCAGGATTGAAGAGTTACACTGTTTTCCTAATGTTTAGAAAAATATGGGTTGATTAGTCATAGTACTAACCTATACTATTATTTGTTTCACAGAGGTGAACAAGAAAGAAGTTGTAGAGGCAGTTACTGTGGTGGAAACTCCTCCCATGGTCATTGTGGGGATTGTGGGCTATGTAGAAACTCCCCGTGGCCTGCGCACCTTCAAGACCATATTTGCTGAGCATATCAGTGATGAGTGCAAGCGTCGTTTCTACAAGAACTGGTATGACAACTGAGATGCTAAAAGATCTTAGTAGGAAAAATGCAGGGTTCATTAGACTCAGCCACATTGTACTTGAGGAAGAACAGCATTCACCTAATTGTGCTTTTTTAGAGTGGGATCAGTGGTACATCTGAGCTCCAAAAAAACCAAAGTGTGCTGTTTATATAATGCCTCATAGGGTTTAAAGCTCTCTGGGTGGTTTTCAATTTAAGTATGCAGTGTACACATCCCCTCAACCTCAGCTAGCTACCTGAGCGCAGGATCAAACACTTATTGTGAGCAGTCTTCACTGCAGTTTAAGCAATACACCAGAAGACTCCTACAAGACTGTAGGTATATAATAATGTTTATTGAATAATGCTAGCTGAATACCAGTGAGTTAAGTTTTTTTCCTGTGGAGCTACTGGGTTGGGAGTTTGATTTAAGCTGTGCTTATAGCAAGAGACAGCCTGTGTACTTATTTGCAGGCTGCAAATGCCCAGGATGTCCTCCAAAGAAGGGAATGGTCAACTACTACTGAGTTCTCTCTACCTAGAAAACCCTGAAAAGGATCACCATAAGTCAGAAATGACTTGAGAGGACATGATTATTATTGAGTAGTAAAACTGAAAGCTGTCTGCACGTTGGTAGTGTGTGGATAAAGGTTTATGGTAGTTTCAGGGTAAATGAAAACTACACATGATGATTTCCTCGACGGGCGGACATAAAGGAATCGCCTTTGGCGCTTGTTGCTGATTGTCGAGTACTGAGTGTAGTTGCTTTTTAGGGTGATTTCCAGTGTTTTTTTCATCTCCTGGTTAGAGAAGAAATCCCAAGTGAGTTTCATTGGACAGTCTTTAAGCACAGGGGACAAATTGTCACTCTTAATATGCTGTGGCAGGTTTCTTAGTGCAGGGAGTTTTTTATAGTGGTTATAGACAAATGTGAAAGTAAATGGGAGGATAGTTCAGTTCACAGTATGGAGTTTTAGGTTGTGACATAGTGTGCCTTTAAACAAACATCAGAGGAACTGTTTCAAACCGCAACAATTTATTAATGCTGATTTTGAACGGTGCATGTTAATGTGTTGGACAAATTTGGGGTGGCTCCGCTCAGCTCTGGCAACGATGCCTTTGTTTGATGAGCCCTGGCTCCGCTTGTTGGTGGAAAAGGCTCCTTAGAAGCCAACAATGAGCCGAAACCAGTCTCTGGGCAGCTTCTTCCACTCGGCCACCTTCCTTGGTGAGCTGATGAAGGACTGTGCCAATCCCACTCTCTGCTCCTCCTTGAAGGCATAAGTCCAAGAAGAAGGCCTTCACCAAGTACTGCAAGAAGTGGCAGGATGAGGAAGGCAAGAAGCAACTGGAGAAGGATTTCAACAGCATGAAGAAGTATTGCCAGGTTATCAGGGTCATTGCTCACACTCAGGTGAGTCCTAACTTGTGCTCACCAGTTCAGGCAGATTTATAGATATCTTTTTACTGTCAGTAGCCAGGGTTCTAGTGATGGTAGACAGTCCCTGCTTGGCAGAGTTTTGTTTCACATGTTGAGTGAGAATGCTATAAGTTTATGTGGCAGCAGTAGTTCCTTCCATGGTTAAACATGTCACACAAGTATTCACCTTAAGGACCTAAAGGGGCTGTTGATGAAGCCACAAAAAGGAAATGTAACATGTGTCTGATGCAGGGCTTAAGAATTCACATACTTTGAGGGCCTGGGAGGTCGTCAAGAAGCATAGAGATAACAGATAAAATCCATGCTTCCTGTTAAAACTGGAAGCCCCCTTTTCCATAACATAAAAGCGTTAATCACTTTGTGGTAGAGAAGCAGTCAATATCCATGAAAATATAGAACAAATACCAAATGCAGATGTGATTCACTATCTATTGCAGTAATACTATTTATTTGGCTCCTCCAGATGCGCATGCTTCCTCTCAGGCAAAAAAAGTCTCATCTGATGGAGATTCAGGTGAATGGTGGAACAGTGGCTGAGAAGGTGGATTGGGCCCGGGCAAAGCTGGAGCAGCAGGTGCCTGTGTCAAATGTCTTTGGCCAGGATGAAATGATAGATGTCATTGGAGTCACCAAGGGCAAGGGATACAAAGGTAATTTATATCAGTCAGTTGCAAGTTGGGAGGTAATAAGAACAATCATACAATCCTGTATAGATTTTTTTAACTTTAGTAATAGTTGGAGAAAGTATTGCTATCTCTAATAAATAGAAGCTGTTCAATGATGAGATCATGGAATATGCACTGGGCACAGTGCCTGATCCTCATGAGGAGTCATTCCATGCTGCCTTCCTTCTGAGACCAGCTTTGCAAGAAAGGATGCAATGGATTGGGAATGGTCAACAAAAGTTACTACTTCTAACATTCCTCTCTTACAGCATAGTAATCTTAAACCTCTTAATTTGTAAAAGTGAAAGGAGATAACCAGGTTGCCAAAGATAATTGCAAGGCCCTCGGTCTTGCAGAGGTAGTAATTAAAACTTGGTTTTCAGAATTATTTCCCACCACTTTTGATGGCACAGAAAAGGAATGTGTAGGAGCCGATTGTTACAGCATTTCCCATGTTTTCTTTTAGGAGTTACTAGCCGATGGCACACCAAAAAGCTACCCCGCAAAACTCATAGAGGTCTGCGCAAGGTGGCCTGTATTGGTGCATGGCATCCTGCTCGTGTGGCATTCTCTGTGGCTCGGGCTGGTCAGAAAGGGTACCATCACCGCACAGAAATCAATAAGAAGGTGAGGAGTGCTTTATGAGTTTGCAGTAGCATAGGGTTTCAGTGTAGAGTAGCTTAGTCAGAAGAAGTGTTGAAGGGAGCAATCGAAACATGCTAGTGCTTGAACCATTGGCATTTTCTATGCATGCATGCTAGTGACCAGTGGATATGTAATAAATCATCATGGCACTTGTTAGGAAGGAAAGTTATTAAGCAGTAAGAAGTCACCTTGGTGTGTGAAAAATGTTGGCATGGTGCTGTGTTGGTTCTTTTATTTGACCTCCTTGGTGTCTTTTGCCATGGACAGAGGACTAAAGAAAAAGCTATAGTCTTCTCTTACTTGTGTTACATATGAAATAGGGAGTATTTTCTACTGCTCAGAAGGGGTTCCTACAGTGGACCCTTGACTTACAGACGGCTTGATTTACAGACTTCTCTGGCCGCAAAATTTAGGTTTGACTTGGAGACTGAGATTTGACTTGCAGACCAGAAAAAAACCAAAATGGAACAAAAACGGCCTGTTACGGGATTAATCGGTTTTCAATGCACTGTAGGTCAATGGAGACTTGACTTGCAGACTTTTTGACTTGAGAACCGCCTTCCAATATGGCCTACTGCTCAGAAGGGGTTCCTATTTCAGTCCATAGTGGAAATAAAAATGGGTCTGGAGACATTTGTTCCTGGCATGTGGGTTTTTGAATGCCTAATAAACGAAAAATAGTAATCAGATTTTCATTAGACACGACGAGTACTCATTTTTCTTCATAGTGGAAGTAAAAATGGGTCTGGAGACATTTGTTTCTGGCATGTGGGTTTTTGAATGCCTAATAAACGAAAAATAGTAATCAGATTTTCATTAGACACGACGAGTACTCATTTTTCTTCTGTTTTGTGTTTCTCAATGATTTAGATCTACAAGATTGGCCAAGGATACCAAATAAAGGATGGCAAGCTGATTAAGAACAATGCGTCAACAGAATATGATCAGTCTGACAAAAGTATTAACCCTCTGGTGAGTGTGTTAAAATAAAAAATTGGGTTCTGGACAGACCATTGCTAGTCAAGAAACTGTTGCATCATCTCTGTAAAGAGCTCTTGAAAACACTGTTCTGTTGCCATATAAATACAACTCCCACTTCTGTGTGTGCGCCCCCAATGCTGCTTGAAATATATGAACTTGGTGTTTGGGGCAGAGTGTTAAATACTGCATTGTGTGTTGCCATATAAGTACAACTCCCACTTCTGCGTGTGCGCCCCCAATGCTTCTTGTACATATTCTGTCAGGGAGTGTTGAAATGTATGAACTTGGTGTTTGTGGCAGAGTGTTAAATACTGCATTGTGTGTTGATTCTTTGTTATGATCATTGCAGGGTGGGTTTGTCCATTATGGTGAAGTGACCAATGACTTTGTCATGCTGAAAGGCTGTGTACAACTCCCACTTCTGCGTGTGCGCCCCCAATGCTTCTTGTACATATTCTGTCAGGGAGTGTTGAAATGTATGAACTTGGTGTTTGTGGCAGAGTGTTAAATACTGCATTGTGTGTTGATTCTTTGTTATGATCATTGCAGGGTGGGTTTGTCCATTATGGTGAAGTGACCAATGACTTTGTCATGCTGAAAGGCTGTGTTGTTGGGACCAAGAAGAGAGTTCTCACTTTGCGCAAGGTGAGCAGTGCAAAAATATTGATAAATGTGGGTATGTAGAAAATGAGATGGTGTGAGTTATTAAAAATAGCATTATTATACAGTGGTGCCCCACATAGCGACGTTAATCCGTTCCGGATTAATCGTTGCTATGCAGAAACATCGCTAAACGGAATGGAAAAAGCCATAGGAACGCATTAAACTTCATTTAATGCATTTCTATGGCTCCCAAACTCACCGTTCAGCGAAGTTCCTCCATAGCGCTGCCATTTTCACGCCCTCGGTAAGCGAGGGCAGGGCGCGAAAACACTTGCGGCGGCCCATTTTGGAACCGCCGATCAGCCTTTTAAAAAAACATCGCAATGCAAAGATCGGTAAGCAAAACACTTACCGATCATCGCAGTGCGATGTTTTGCCTATTCAGAACATCGCAATACGATCACATTAATGATCTTTAAAAAAAAGATTGCTATGCGGATTTGTCGTTAAACGGTGTGCTCGTTAAGCGAGGCACTACTCTAAATCATTCAAATAATGCCAAGAGGCTGGAAGACTGGTGTTTTCCTGTTACAAGTCAGGGATACTGTACTTAAGCAGCAGGTGAAAGGTGCACCTTGCTTCTGATACAGCTAATTTTTCCACAAGATTGAGATTGAGTTCCGTTGGCTACCTGCTCAGCTTGCGCTGCCGTTATTGGTGAAATACAGTGTGTAGCACCAGGTTTGCCATCAAGCAGCTGTGAGATGTAGAAACATCTGCTTTAGCTCTACTTTATCATCTTTGCATGCTAAATTAGGCATAAAACTTCATTTGACACACTTCCAGAATGCTTTTCAGGCAGGATTTGAATATAAAGATAGCATTGTTCATTCTTCACTGTACATGCAAGGTTGCAACTTGTGTCATTTAAAGCAACCTGGTATTCACAGTATGTAATTGCTTTGAGGCTTGAGGGGTAGCTTTCAATTCTGGCTTTGTTTTCCACACAATCTCCTTTCTGGTGAAGGGCTTACAATTTCCAAATGAATTATCATACTTCTGCTCCTTTCCTCCTAGTCCTTGCTTGTGCAGACCAAGCGTCGGGCCCTGGAGAAGATTGCTCTGAAGTTTATTGATACTACTTCCAAATTTGGTCATGGTCGTTTCCAGACAGCAGAGGAGAAGAAGGCTTTCATGGTAAGAGTACTCCTTTTTTTATATCTTTGTGATACTGCTTATATGCAGTTGTAGCAAAGTATCATGTGTTGAACTGATTCCCTTTAGTGCTTATGTAGTTGAGCTGTTTTCCAAGTGTTCCCAACAGGAATTGGTTTTACGGTGTATGAAAGGAACAGATTAGCTGTTAAGAAATAGAAGTTAATTCCTCTGTGGCATTTGCTGTTAAGAATTTGCTTGGAAATGCATTTATGTGCATTTTTCCACATATTTAGTCCCCCCCCCCAAAAAAATGATTGGGTCCTCTCCCAGGATTAGTAGGTTAAACCGTGAGCTAGAAACACATGAACAGAAAAGTAGATATGTCTTCAGATTCTATGTACATGCAGATTAAATAGTATTGAGTATCACATAGTTCTGTTTTATTAAAGTCTGATACACTTACTCATTTGGAAGATCTCTGTATACCAACTTCAGTAGTAAATGTTCTCTTCTGTGTGCTCATGGTCAGATAACACATAAGGTCTTGCTGTGGTGCCATATATGTAGTGATAAAAGAGGAGTCATGCTTGATTATACTTAGTTCTGCACTCTGTTAGGAACCTTAACAATAAGCAGCTTGGACTGTAGTCCAACAGCAAATTAGTCAGTGACTTCAGGCTCAAGTGAATGCTTACCGTTAACCACTGCTACTTGTGACTTACTTTCAAAAAGCAGCTGTATATATGTTTATTGGCTAATATTAAGTTATTTAAATTGCATCTCCAGTGTGGATTTACTTAATTATGATTTTCTTTGCAGGGACCACTCAAGAAAGACCGTATTGCCAAAGAGGAGACCGCATAGAGTCTGGAATATTCTGCTTTTGGCCTGTAGTTTGTAATAAAGCTACATATTTCAAATTGTTTCTGTTCAATGCTTTATGAAGGATAGAACTGTTTCTGTACTCACAATATGTCAGGTTTTGATGATCTGCATAAACAGATTAGACATGACAAATCCAAACTCATTTCATATTAGATTTCCAGATACAAGATATGCAGACTTGAAGGTGTTAACGAAATTTGGGCTGAGTAGAGTGAACCAATCCATGTCATCTGTTTTGGTTTCAAATACTAAATTAAATGAACATTCAATTTTATTTAAGGAACTGGCAGATAATCATTTAGACCATTGTTCCTTCTAGCTCAGTACTGCCTTCTCTGGCACCCTTTTCATGTAAAGCATGTGTTCTATCACTAAGCTGTGGCCTTGTTCTTGAGACAGTGAAATGTAATTTCTTCACAGGTGGGAGCCCTTAACTTTGACCCTTAAGATCTAAATAGCCTGGTGTAATGCTTTTTTAACAAGTGTTGTAGGGTGGGCCACACAACTATGGTATTTATGTGCCATTAAGCACATAAATATAGGGACATGATGGCACTGTGGATTAAACTGCAGAAGCCTCTGTGCTGCAAGTTCAGAATACCTGCAGTCGTAAGATCAAATCCATGTGACGGAGTGAGCCCCCAACGCTTGTTGCAGCTCCCGCAAACCTAGTAGTTTGAAAGCATGCAAAATGTGAATAGATAAATAGGTACCACCACGGAGGGAAAGTAATGGCATTCTGTGTCTAGTCATGTTGGTCACGTGACCACGGAGACTCTTCCGACAATTGCTAGCTCTGTGGGTTGGAAGCTGAGATGAGAACCGTCCCTTAGAGTTGGACACGACTGGACAAATTGTCAAGGGGAACCTTTACCTTTAAGCAATATCTGATTTAAGTCAACATAATAGAGTTTTACAAGGTGCACCATATTTAAGGAGTGGTTCTCTCATTGCCATTCTTTGCGGAGCTTTTGTCCCTGAGCAGAGGATTTGAACTTGGGTTTCCCAAGTCCTAGCCAGGCGCCTTGTCCACTGCGCCATACTGGCTTAAAACAGCCAGTAGTACATTGAACTAGCCATAGCATTTGACCCAATGTGAGGGGCAGCACACCATAGAACATGTTCAACAATCTGTTGAAATTGTGCACGCTGAGATACATGGATGCTGCTTTGCCTTTCAAAGCTGGTAAAAGTTATTTCTGGGCATCAAGTGGTAAGGATAAATCCAGGAGCATTTCTGAAGCTGTACAGACCTAGTTCACTGAGGGAGTTGTAACAGATTGAGATCAGTCTAACCCTGAAAACCACAAGGCATTTTTTTATCCCCAGATTCAGCCACATTAGATAAATACATAGCAATTATCGTTGTCAGCAGAGGGAGCATGTGTCTGCTGGTTGCTGAGACCCATGTTCCAGAGTACACCATAACCCTCATGGCCTACCAGTGGATCCTCCCAACTTGGTGGCCAGCACAGGACTAGATAGACCTTCAGTCTCAACCAGCAGGCTTTTCTGTAACGGTAATGCCAATCCTGTGACTTGACAACTCAAGCTCTAGTCCATATCTGACTAAAGTACCATTTAAATCAGTTCACTTGCCAGTACAACAGCAATGAGATGGTTGTGCAAGGCAGGTCATGTTATGACAAAGGCTTGACCTGCAGGCTTTAAAATGGGGTGCCTACTTGAGGGTTAAGGCAAAAAGGACATAAATTTTCAAAACAATGTATGTAAACTGCCTTGAGACTAAACAAAAGAGCATATATCTGGAGGAGGAAAATGGAATTGTACTGCAAGAACTTTGAGTAGTCCTTGTTTCACTGGCATTTTAACAAAAGGCAGCATATATGTGGAAGACAAAAATGGAATTGTGCTGCAAGTACTTTGAGTAGTCCTTGTTTCACTGGCATTTGGAAAAGAATGCCTGTAGTGACTAACAAATGTCTCTTCCCCATTTTGCATGTGAAGTATTCTGCAAGCATGAAGTATGAATTATTATTTCAGCCTTCACCAAAGTGACACCCTCTGGCTGTGATGAACTCCAGCTTCCATCATCTCCAGTCATCCTTCCCGTGCCACAAGCTCAGTCCTATAGAGCTAAAGGTAAAGGTTCCCCTTGCCATTTTTTTATTCCAGTCGTGTCCCACTCTAGGGGGCGGCTTATCCCGCTTTTCGAGCCTCAAGCCGTAGAGCCAGCGCCTGTCCAAAGACAGTTTCTGTTGTCACTGGAGGCCCTCAAGCTGAAGAAGTCTCTCTGGGCCTGCGGAAAAGAGAAGTGGCCATTTGGTTGATGACCCAAGTGGGCCAGCAGGTGGCGGTAGTGGTCTCCCTTGGCTCTAGTCAATCTCTCTGCAGCAAAGCTTGCGTCTCCTGTGTTTGGGCCCCAGCTTCCATAGCAACTGGCAACAACCAGGTGAAGTCACGGGCTAGGCCTCTGCAGTGGGCTCAGCTTGAAGGAGACTTGGCTTTCAGGATAAGTGGTTTCTGGGAGGATAAAGTGGCCTGAGATCAGAGACTAGGGGGAAACGGGGCAGAGGGCAAGGCAATTAAAACACGCCCTTTGAAGCAACCTTCATGTGAAATTTTAGTTTCTATACCCCTTTGATATGTATGCCCTTTTAAAAAGCAAGAAGTATACTAATCTCTGGAAGGCTCAAAAGTTCATTACAGGTAGATTTAAAATGCATTTATTCAGAAATAAAGTCTTCGTGTGCATGTTTTTGCTTCTGTTCTTCCTCTAAGGACAGCAGGACCCATGTTCCAGAGCACAGTCCTCCAAGGAGTTTAGTGATCTGAACCCAGGTTCACTACCCCGTCCAGTAGTCACAAGCCTTTTCACTGTACTAGCACATGCACACAATGGGTTCTTGAGAGACACAATACAACTTGTGCGGAAACCATTTTCATGTTTTAACGGGACCCCCTCCGAAGTGGAGTAAAAGTGCATCGATTCCAATTCTCTTTCAAACAATATTGGAATCTATATTACCATATCCTGAAGAGGGAGATGGCTGCTCTCAAATGACTTGCAGAACTTGACAAAAATGTCTTGTGAAGATCCATTTATATTACTACAATGCTGAATACCATGAAAAAGCTCCTGGTACCTCCAGGGAAATTCAGTTTTAAATTTTTTTCCCCCCAAATGGGAGAACAGTGTTTCAAAATCTTGTTTTCTCTAGAAGAAAATACTGTATGCGCTCCATACCTTGGAGGGGGGAAAAAGGAGGAGGAGGGGGGAAAAGGTGTTTGTTGCCCCTTGAGACTGGAAATTTTTGGGCACTTGGTTTCACTTGCAGGGACAAGTGAAATACTCGTAATATCGAAGATGCTGCCACCTGCACCTCATGAACCCTAACCCCCAATTCCTATCCTGCCTTTCCACCAATGAGCTCTAGGTTGTTGCACATGACTCTTCTGCCCACTTTTCCTCCTCATAAACAGCCCTGCAAAGGCACCTCAGCCTGGTGAGTTTCGCAGTGTGGGGTCTGAACCTGGTTCTCTCCAGCGCAACCACCCTAGAGGCTCTTAAGTTTTAAGTTTTTCAACACAAGACACATCAATCCTCCAGAAATGTGTCTAATCCTGGAATGGCCAGCCTGTGCCTCACCGCCAGCTTACATGTGGTTCACTGAACCCACATCCAAGTCTTCCCTGTCTGGATCAAGAGAGGGCCGCTCCGCCCGTCCAAACGAGAGGAAGATTCCCAGCTTTGCTTCTCTTCAGCTCTGTGGTTTCTGAAACTTTCCCCACCCAGTTCTTCACCTAAGCAGCAAGAAAAAGAGGGCTGAGCTGCAGATAAAAGGTTCAATTTATTGAAGTTGAACTACTGAAGGTTAAATACAACTGGGGAGAGGTGAAGCTTAACCCTTCGCCCACCCCCCAAGTCTGATGCATATTGTCTTCCTGTACAACTTTCTACAAGGTTAATAGGGGCACACAGAGTAGTCCCTCAGTTCTGGGGCAAGAGTGTTAAACCACTGACTCCAGCATCACAATCTTACTGTGCAGAGTAGGGTGCAAGCAGAGGGTGACAATCTCCTATCCAAAGTGCTGTTAGCCCCAACAAAATTCCCTTGACAGTTAGTCTTAAAAAGTTGAGTGGTTGTTGTCTAACCCCTGAGTTTGGAAATACAGTAGCCAGTTATGAGTATTTCAACTAGCTACTATTTGAGATACAGATACAGATAGCAGCGGACACAGGTAACATCAAAGGAATGTATGATGGTATCAAGCAGGCCTTAGGTCCATTACAGAAGAAATCTGCTCCCTTGAAGTCTGCTACAGGTGTGATCATCCAGGACCGAGCACAGCAGATGGAACGCTGGGTGCAGCACTGTGTTTAGTCGTTTAGTCGTGTCCGACTCTTCGTGACCCCATGGACCAGAGCACGCCAGGCCCTCCTGTCTTCTACTGCCTCCTGGAGTTGTGTCAGGTTCATGTTGGTTGCTTCGCAGACACTGTCCAGCCATCTCATCCTCGGTCGTCCCCTTCTCCTCTTGCCATCACACCTTCCTAACATCAAGGTTTTTTCCAAGGACTCTTTTCTTCTCATGAGATGGCCAAAGTACTGGAGCCTCAGCTTCAGGATCTGTCCTTCCAGTGAGCACTCAGCGTTGATTTCCTTTAGAACTGATAGTTTTGTTCTCCTTGCAGTCCAGGGGATTCTCAAGAGCCGCCT